CTGGGGGGGTAGGAACTACAAGGGCCAAAATAAACTTCCATGGCCAATTTGGCATCTGTGAGAAACAGCCATGGGATGTTGGGCTTTACCCCAATGAAGGAGGAAGTTCATCCATATAAACAATGTAATCTGCTGTAAGGTCTCGCTTTTGCCATACCTAGAGATGGGAGAGAAAACACCACAGTGGATACCCAAACTCTGTGTAGAAACAGAACAGACAAAATGGCTCACAACTTTATATCAGTGAGAATTACATCAGTCTCTCTCTCTCTTTAAAAAAACTTCCCACACTACCTGACATAAAACATCAATTTCTTGTGTAAGGAGATATAATTTGTTTATCCTGTACTTTGTAGTTTTTTAAAGAACTTTCATATTGGTTTCATTTGGAAATACCCCAACACTGCAATGTAGCTGAGAAAGACATTTTTTATGCCTTATTTACAAATGGATAGATTGTCTCTTGCTCAAGTGACGCTTCTATAATAGTTCATGGCCACTGAGCTAATTAGTGACAACTAGAAATGAGCCCAGTTCTCCAGATTCATTCTCACTTTTCTGAGTCATTTTCATTAGAGGTATACCTTTGAAATATCGTCTACATCTTAGAGGATTTATGGTCTAGAGAATGGAAGCCCACATCACTGTATTCCCAAATCTTTCCGATTTCAAATCCTTTATAGGTCTTCTTTCTATGATATATTACAGGAGGCATGGAGGGCTAAAACTGACTATGTAATGTAGATTCTCAATCCTATTATTCACTCTGTGCCTTGCACTAAAAAATAATACAATGTCAGAAGCAACGTAGGGTCTTCAATTAATATTTGTTGAATGGATGAATATAACTTGTAGCTGTCTTCCAATGACATCATTCAGGATCATTTAAGGTTAAAACAGTTCCAAGCATTCACAAATTCTCACTTTTCTATGGAAATTCTACACTCCTATTACAATAGGTACTCTTACCATTTGCGCTTTCTCCCATTTTCTCATATATAATCATTCATCATGTCTTCCATAGAAGGCAAAGTACAAGTTCCTGGAAAAGAAGGAAAGACATGATGGTAGTTAAATGAGTCTGGCATAGGACCAGCCTACAATTTTCCCTTTTTAATAATGAGTTATGATCACATTAATTGTGATCATTTTCAGACAGACATCAAATCATTCTAGTCTTCTCAGAACTCATATTTCATAAAAATTAAAAAAACATTACCTAAATAGCTTTGCTCTTAAACTGGTTACAAGGTGTTTAAACTCAATTTCATAGATATATTTTAATCTCTCAGTCATATTTTAAGAATGTTATATTTTAAATTATAGCCAGAGGTGAATTGGCATCACTTTTCCAAGATTTATGAAGAAAAACTTCATAGACATTAATCCTGCTTTGCCAGAAAATGGAATTTCCAGAAGATAGAGAATTTGGTGAAGGGCTAAGTTTTTTCTATGGAAAGCCAATAGTTCTTGAATGTGACTGAGGATATGGACTGTCCACAAGTCAGAAAGGACATAAGGGAGACCCAGGAGACTAGCCCTGACTTGGGCTGCCCCAGGATCAGGTTTACATAGGTTTGCAGAGTTCCCTGAAACCCAGACCCAAAACAGGCTTTGTGCCAGAAATTCTTCATATTTAGGTGATTTCTTTGGCAGTCTTGGAATTAACTTGAAAGAGAATAAAACTCTCAGCCCAGATATGATTGCTCAAGACCTATAATGGCTTGCTTAATTTCCCATTTCTACACTTCTTACAGGGAGGGTCACTTGAACAGCTTTTGTAGATGTGGCCTGGTTCCAGGCCTTTGAACTTGTCATGCTTTTCAGGGGAAGAGATGAAAAGAAAGAGACTGCTTTTTAGCCCACCACTATTGCCATGTGGTTGTTTTACTAGCCCCTCTTGTCTTGGTACTTTGGTTTTCCAAACCTAGGTTGTTTGCCTTGTCTCTCATTTCCCTTAAGACAGCTGTGCCTTGATCAATCCCCATAAATTGCCTTGTTTCCTTTCTTCAGAGCCCAAGTTACAACTCTTGTCCTCAGACAGAGTGAGGGTCCCACCCTTCCTTTAATGCCAGCCTCTCTGGGTCTGAACCTAAGTGGGACTGAGTGAAATTTCATGCCTTTATCTCCTGGCTACCTGGATATGATCTGCATCTTCCACAACCATATTCCAACCTGCTGCTGGAGATGCGCCTGCCTTTCTTGCCTGACCCCAATCAAGTTTGTTGCTTTCGTAGTAGAAAAGCCATTGCCTTCCAGCAATCATATTTTCCATGACTGTGGACATTCGAAGTTGGCTGGATATTGGCTTGTAAACATATTTTCTTATGAACTTTTCAAGCAATGTAATTCTACTGAGTTCTGCAATCATAATTTTTTAAAGTTGTCATTCGCTTAGTCTTAAGTGGATGCAAACTTTGGTGGTCTCAAATCTAATGAATGATCTTGGGTAATGATCAGCTGTAAGAAGTTATAAGTCACAAAATACCTCCTCTAATAATATCTTGTACTATTGCATACAATAATCCAAACTGGTATACTTTAAATTGCTTACAAAATATAGCACCAAAGAATATAGAATTCTAAATTTTCAAAACTGAAGGGGACCCTGTAACTAGGATTATTGTTTTCACAAAGATACAAAGTTATTGTCACTGGCATTCATCTTCCCAATCCATGAGCCTTTTTATTGACTTACCCTTTATTACTCGTGCTGCCCAGCGGGACTGGAGGTCAACTGTGGGAATGGCAGCCCCAAGGGACTGGACAAAGCCAATCACTGCTATGGTTGACTTCTCAAGTAGAGGAGGAAAGACTCCTTTAAATAAAATGATCTCATTGTTTCTGTTTTTGATGATAGACTCATCAAGGAACGTGTAGGCATAACTATAGCCTGTTACAAAGATTACACAGTCAATGCCCTCAAATGTGGTCCCATCCTCAAAAATGGCCGAAGTCTCTGTGAATTTCTTCACATTAGGCTTTACGGACACAATGCCACACAGAATGCAAGCTGGGAGCTCATCATTAAATACAGGTTCTTTCCTCAGGACTCTGTATGGAAAACAGAGATAATTATTAGAAGTGTAATATTTCCCTCTTGTTTTATTGGTCCATATATAAATTGATAAGCAAAAAAGTGGCCCAATATTTTTTTTTCTGAGCCATAGAGTATCTCCAATATGGCTGAAGAACAAAATTGATGGGAGGCAACATTGGGAAGTAAGAGAAGTTGCCGTTTGTTGGCCCCATCTCTATTTTCTGTGATCCTTCTCTTCTATGGAGCTCTTTCCAAATCCCAGAATAAAGACTTATGCCCAGTTCCCTGTTAAAGCCTGTTTCAGGAAAAACTCTGAAGTGAGGGTACTTCAGTGTTTACATTTTTTTAATTTGCTACTTACTCAGTGGGAACTTTGATAAGATTGTTTTTTAAATTCTTGGTGTCTCATATTTCTCATCTGGAATGTCAGTAATGTTTGTACTACCCCAGAAGTTCCCTAAATTATATAAAGAGTTTTGCACAGTCTCTAGCATGTGCATAGAGCTTGAAAATGTTAACTTCTATTCTTAATTCCGTATACTCCAAGTTGGTCATCATAATGTGGAGAAGATCAAATAGAAGGAGGAAAGTCAAAGGTGTGAAAGCTGCAGCTGGGCTCTTGAGGGATGAAGTTTGAGCCCTGTGCAGACAGAGGCACCAGTCAGGTGAAGGAGGGAGCACCCAGGAATTTAAATAAGGCCAGAGGGAGGGTGCCAGTTTGAGGTTTTGGCGACTGCAAATCTGGAAAGAGAGAGCTTTGGACTACTTTTTATTGAATAATATCTGTAGTGGGAGCAGAGAAATCTGAACTCGGGAATGAACGTGAATATAGTTGAAGGAAAGAGTGTTGTTCTTGTATGACTGTGGGAGCTGTGAGAGAGTGCTACAGGCAAATTCCACTGGAGAACAAACTGAGTTGGACAACGAGATTGGTTGGAATCTTGGAAGAAGGCTTGACTCACTTGCACTTACTACCTGCCATGTATGTTAAACCTGTGGCCATCAGGTTTTCACCTCCACCACCACCACACTGAAATGGTTCTTGTCAAGGCCGTCAGAATCAGGCTCTCAGATCCAGTGGTCCACCCTCACTTTCACTTTTACTCAACTTAGCATTTAACATAGTTGATGGTTTTTTCTTTCTTGAAACACTGTATTCATTTTGTTTCCAGGTCATCACTCTCTCTCAGTTCCTTTCCTACTTTCCTGGCTATTCTTTCTCTGTCTCCCACAGATGTCTTCTCCTCTTCTCCTCTTCCTGATTTCTGACAGTGGCATACCTCAGGACTCAGCCCTCAGATCTTTAGTCTCCTCCATTTACACACATTCAAGAGCTGTCATCTAGTTTCATTTCTTCAGGAAAAATTTTCACATGACTCCAAAGTTTTAACTTCTGGTTTGAACCTCAAAGTCAGTGTTTCCCACTGCAGGTCAACATTCTTCTACCTGAATGTCTAGTAGGCATTCTAATTTTAATATGTCTAAAACCGAACTTCTGTTCCTTCTGTAGTTTTTCACATTTTAGTAAATGTCAATGTCGTCCTTTTTCAAGTGTCTTGAAAGACATTCTTACCCACTCCTTGCTCTCTCATCCACTATCCAGTCCACAGGAAACCCTGTTCGGGTCTACCTTCAAGCTATCCAGAAATCTGCCCTCTTCTGACCACTCACTGCTAACAATTTTGGTCCAGACCAACATCCCCTCTTATTCGGGTTTTTGAGAGTAGCATTTTAACTGGTCATTTCGTTTCCTTCCTTGCCCTGCCCTTGCATTGAATGATGACCACAGCAGCTGATCAATCTCTGCAATGCTAATTTAGGTCTTGTCATTCATTTGCTCAGATGCCTGCTGTGGTTTCCCATTGCTTTCAGCATAAAAGCCAGAGTCCTTACAATGATCTACAAGGCCCATGCCATCCAACAATTTTTACGTCTCTGGTTTTATCTCCTGGCGCTCTCCCCTCATTCTCTTTTCTCCAGGAAGAGAAGCCCCATTGTTGTTTGTTGATCATGCCAGCTCCGCCTGTGAAGAGACAATGCCCTGGCTGTGTCCTCAGTCTGGAATATCCTTCCCCAGAGACCCTCATGACTCATTCTCTCAACTCCTTCAGAGGTTTTCTTTAAAGTCTCCTTCTCTCTGAGACATACTCTGACGACTCTATTGGAAATTGTCCTGACAGCACTTGCCATTACCTTTATCTGCTTTGTTTTCTTCCCCAAAGCACACATCGCCATATCTTATGCTATTGTTTGTTGTCTGTTTTCCACCACTTAGAATGGAGATTCCATGAGGACAGGGATTTTTGCCTGTTTTGTTCACTGCTATATCCTCAGGGCTAAACACAGGACCTGGCATATAATAAACGTGTAATAAACTCGCCTTCTGACGCTCGCATTCACACTCGCACACTCAACTTTGTTGTAAACAGCTCATAACTTGGGTTTCTCACTCGTGTCAAAGTCATTTCTTGTTATGTTGCTGGCTTGGAGGATCTTATAGGAGAAGATGGGAAGGAGACTGAAGATGCAAGCATTGGCATGTATGTGTTTAGTGAGAGGGGTCCATTAAGGAGTGGGTAATGAAATGGAAAGGGAAAGGTAGGACAGGAAAAGTTCTCTTGCTGTGCTTAACTTTGCCATTAAATGACAGGCAGTAGAGCAAGTGGCAAAGAGTGAGAGGCTCTGGAATCAGCAGATCTGGGTTTGTTTTGAATCTGCTTCTACTTTCTAGCTGTGGAGCTTAGTAAAGTTATTAATTACACTGAAACTCAGTTATCTCATCTCTAAAATGGAGATACTAATAGAGCTCTCTTCATAATTGTTGTAAGGATAAAACAAAATAATATATGCCAGAGCCTTAGCAGAGTCTTGCTAAATCTCTGACATGTATAAAATGCTTAAAAGAGGTTAACTTTGATTATCATTACTCTCGGGACTAATTCTTGAGGCATTATATAATTTTCCAGCTGTGTAAATATAGCAAGGATTGTAAAATAGGAAATCACTCTTAATTTTTGCAGTTCTTTATCTTCTGATAGATGAGTGTGTTGCTAATATTTTTATTTGTTTTGGAGTTACAGGACATTAAGGGTTGTTGACACTGACTAAAGGCCAGCAGGCATATCACGTTTAACTCTGCATTACCCATTTAAAGGCATCAAGCCATAGTTTTCATGCTTGAATTGCATTCATCTGCTTCATGTACAACCAGTCAGAGATGGCTGTGGGTAAATTGTTCTTGAGGAAGGTTCCAAATCGAGTGATAAGCACCATGTCCCAGGGATAACCATGTCCAGACGCGGCTCATCACCCAGGAGCCACTTCTGGAGCTGATCACAACCTTAAAAAACACCATTTCAACCATGAAATTAGTGACCATTTGTAGTGTTTCTGATGAGCTCCCCAGATCCTTCTTGAGGAATGGATCTATTACCCCAGCGGCAGAAAGTGGTGTCAAAAGGCATCTCTCATCTGTCAGTCCTCTTTGACAGTTGTTTTGGCTGAAGAGAGGGGCCTCACCCAACATCTTCTATTCTTTCTGAGTTTCCTCCATCTAGTGACTGGTCAATGCAGGCATATAAAGGCCCAGTCCTCCACCTCAAATTGGGGCAATGCCCAAGGACTATCCCAGCTTCAAAGTAAACAGAAGCTTTCTTCCCTTCCTGCAGAAGTATTGATCCTGAGACTGCTCCCAAATAAACTTCTGAACTTGACATCTGCATCTTAGGGTCGCCCACCTGTCATAGTGCTGCAGGCAAATTTTCATATTTTAATCAATCCCTGCTACAGGTGACTAATAACTTAATTCTAGTCACGTTTTCCCTAGTGCTCATCTAACTATTGCCGTCTACAAATAAGCAATTATGATCTCAAAATAGGCATTTTAAAATAAAATGCCTGCCACTATCTGGAAAGAAGGTGAGAAATTTGGAATCTGAAAACCACACGCTCAAACACTGACTCTCCTGCTTATTAATGATGTGATTTGAAAAAATTCCTTTAACTTCTCTAATCTTGTTCCCTCATTTCTAAAATGGAGAGAATCCAATTTGCCTCATCAAATTTGTGTAAGGGTTAATTTGATGTGATAAACTATGTCACACTGCTAATGTTACCTGGCAGATAGTATGTGCTCAGTAAATGTCAGTTTCCTCTCCTTCCCCTTCTGTTATGCTAATCCCTAATAGTGTAGTTTTCAGGCTTTCTTTGTCTTTTTTAAAACCAATTTTTATATACCATATCACTTCAAGGCATTTGTTATAAGAGGAACTAGACAATAAGAAGAGACTAAAGGAGTCTGGGCATGGTGGCTCACGCCCTAATCCCAGGACTTTAGGAGGCCAAGGCGGGCAGATCATCTGAGGTCAGGAGTTTGAGACCAGCCTGGCCAACATAGTGAAACCCCATCTGTACTAAATACAAAAATTAACTGGGTGTGGGGTGTGGTGGCAGGTGCCTGTAATCCCAGCTACTCGGGCTGAGACGGGAGGATTGCTTGAACCTGGAGGATGGAGGCTGCAGTGAGCCGAGATTGTGCCACTACACTCGAGCCTGGGACAGAGTGAGACTCTGGGAAAAAAAAGACTAAAGGATCAATTAATTAAATAGAGAGCCTCTGAAATTGGTCTTCCCTCTAATTTATCACATACGCAAATAATCACATATACAAATACAAATCTCTTAAAACTATGAGTTCATCATAAATTTCCTGAACCCAAGAAGCTGAAATAATGGTTTACCTTTATTTATGCAGAAATCTAATTATTTATCCTGTCATTCAAGTCCTTAAAATATGTGATATAACCTGATTCCAATCTTTCTTTCCTGCCACTCAATCCTTATCTACTGTTCCCTGGATTCAGAAGCTTTGGCTTTCAGTTCTGTAACCCTTCAGTGGCTCAAACATTTATTTCTCGATGACTTTCAAGAAGACAATTGACATTTCTGGTCTCATTTATCCTTTCTGCAATAAAACTACCTTCTTCCCAAAAGCAAAGGAGCTCATTTACAGGAAAGTATTTGAGTACCATAATGCATCATACAAATTGTTAGCATTAAGAACCTCCATTCGGCCAGGGGCGGTGGCTCACGCCTGTCATCCCAGCACTTTGGGAGGCCAAGGCGAGCAGATCACAAGGTCAGGAGATCGAGACCATCCTGGCTAACATGGTGAAACCCGTCTCTACTAAATACAAAAAATTAGCCAGGCGTGGTGGCGGGCCTGTAGTCCCAGCTACTCCGGAGGCTGAGGCAGGAGAATGGCGTGAACCGGGAGGTGGAGATTGTAGTGAGCTGAGATTGGCCACTGCACTCCAGCCTGGGTGACAGAGCGAGTTTCCTTCTCAAAAAAAGAAGGAAAAAAGAAACAAAAACAAAACAAAACAACCTCCATTACAGCAAGATGAAACTATAACCTACAATAGTCAAATATACAGCGCTCATTTTCTTGTCTTCATGCCTCTGCTCAAGGCATTTCCATTCTAAGAACAACCTCTTGTTCTTTCAGTACCATGATTTATTATTATTGTCAAGGACTGGCTCAGTTCTACCTCCTTTGTGAAGCATCCAGTTTTGGAATCATAGCATTTAGTGCCTGAATCACTTGTTACCTTTATTCCAGTGAACAGCTCTTATTCCAGAGCAGGGATCATGCCTGTTATGTTCACCACTCTCTTCAGCACCCAAGCCAGTGCCTGGCACATAGTAGGCTCTCAATAAGTAGTCATGGAATAAATGTATGCATGCATGCATAAATGAATGAATAAATGAGCCACTCTATATTGCTTAAATCCTGTTCAAAAGCTTTAACTTTATCACAAGCCCCAGAAGTAGGTTCTATTTTTGTCTGTTTCACCATTGAGAAAACTGCCTCAGAGAGATTGAAGGACTGCCTGAGTCTCAGAATCATAACCTTAACCCTAAATCTGTGCTAGTTTTAGGGAAATTGACAGAGACATTAGGCACCAATGTCCTGAAGAAGGAGATTGTTGAATGACAGTATTACTCCTTGCTGATGTTCTGCCTTTGTCTATGAAGTGATTTAAAACCTCAGCTGTTACTTAGGGAAGCTCAGCTATGTGAAATACCACTTAGTCTTTACATCAGATACCCTTCCTTCCTCCCCTACATTTCCTATCACACCTTTCCAACGATAATAACTCTTCTGTCAGTAAAGAGAGTTGCCTGAGTACCCGGGGAGTAGTACCTGTTCTGCTGTGTGGCTGAGTTCTGCAGTATCACAGCCAATTTCCAGGCAAACCAACCAGGAAACACGCTTCTTAATAACCTGTTCCTTTGTGGTCACCCTGCCTGTGGAGCTGCCTTTAAGTGCGTTAGCTCCTCCCAAGCGAGATATATAAATTTGCGTCATTACTTTCAAACCAGCCTTCCTAAAGACGCAAACACTCTCTGAATAGGATGCAGTCACAATAATGTGCTCTTTTAACACACCAGTTATTAGATATACAGAAGTAATCTTTTAATTTAACCTGCTGTACCCTTTCGAAAAAAGAAGACATTATCAGAATATTCATTTTTGCCAGTTACGTGGCTAGCAGCTTAAATTGTGCCTTACCTGGAAAGGACTCTTTTGGTAGGTTGGATAGACATGATGTCCAGAACAAACCATCAACAGCATCAAAGACAGCCGATCTCTTTTACCATCCCTTTCAGTGGTAACATCCCATAGCCGTAGTTGCAAAAATAGGAACATTTTTCTCTGGTCCAATGTCCTAAGAAATACAGAAAGAAACCCCCCTTTTCTATGCTAGCAAATGGATTAGGTAGAAACAGTATGAAAAAAGAGAAAGTGGGTTAGCAAAAATATTTAACTAATTATTAAGATACATATTACAAATTTAAAATTCCCTCAGAATAAATCAAAACACTAAATGGTATCTGTCTATTTGTCCCTGCATGATTTCTTGTGCATAACCAGTATTTTCTGGAGTACAAGAGCGACACCCGTTGGAGATATGGCAGTGACTTCAATTACAATTTACAAGAGGTATACGTCACGTATACTAGAAAATCTGATGGCCAATAATGTTCTGGATCACATTCCCATATGTTCTGGTTCAGTACATCAAAGATAGCTCAAAGATAGACGTACTGAACCAGAACATATGAAAATGTGATCAAAAAAATTATTAAATTTGTTAAATTAAAATTAAAACTATTAAATTCAAATTTCTAACACGCTCCTAGGTGATGCTGATGTCACTTGGACTATAACTGAGTAGCTTTGACTAGATTATCAATAAATATTTGTTCACAGTTAAATGGCTGCCTGTTGGTGTGCTCCCTGTTTTAAAAAAATCTTTCAATTCTTCTGATTATATTGGAAAAAGAATCTCTATTTGGTATTAATTGTTCTTAAAAAGTTTATTATATACTATTTCATACATATAGAAGAATACACACACAAACACATATGTAACATTTTTGTTAGTTATGAAATATAATGAGAATTTATGAACCCATAAGACCTAATACATCATTTGTTTAGAATAACTCTGGGATTATTTAGTTAATTAGTTACGCTATTGCATATGTCAACATTTTTTTGTATGGGTTTCTGTTTGTTGCTGGTTTACAGAAATGCAATCTATTTTTATATATTGATCTTATATACCACCATCTTGCCTAACTTTTTTTGTATTGCTATTCTAGTAATTTATCTATTCTTTTACAATACATAGACAATCACATTATCTTCAATAACTGTGTTTTACTTTCTTTTGAGTTGTCATTCATTTATTTTTCTTTACTTACTGCACTGCTTCTTAAATTTCTGAAGACTATTGAAAAGAAGTAATTACTATTGAAAATAGTAATTAGGAATTCTTATCTTGGTCTGAAACTTTACAGTGAATGCTTCTAACTTTTCATTCTTTAGCACAGCACTGACCAGTACCAATATAGTATGAGCAACATATGCAATTTAAAAATTTCTAAGACCGGACATGGTGGCCCACGCCTATAATCCCAGCACTTTGGCAGGCCAAGGCGGGTAGATCACCTGAGATGGGGAGTTCGAGAACAGCCTGACCAACATGGAGAAACCCCATCTCTACTAAAAATACAAAATTAGTCGGGCATGATGGCACATGCCTGTATTCTCAGCTACTTGGGAGGTTGAGGCAGGAGAATCATTTGAATCTGGGAGGCGGAGGTTGCGGTGAGCCGAGATTGCACCATTGCACTCCAGCCTGGGCAGCAAGAACAAAACTCAGTCTCAAAAAAAAAAAAAATTCTAATAGTCACATTAAAAAGTGAAAAAAATGTATAATTTAAATCTGTCTGTTATGTTAGCATTTCAAAATGTAGTTAAAATTTATGAATAAGGTATTTTACTTTCCTTTTTAATAATAAGACTTGGAAAGTTAGTGTATATTTTATACTTATTCCACATCTCAGTTTTGTGGCTAGTGGCTACTATATTGAACAGTGCAGATTTAAGATAAATTAAGATAAAGATTAAGATAATGTTTGTGTATGTTTTGCTGGTTCAAGACAATTCTGCTCTAAGTTTGGCAAGAGTTTTCTTTTGATTTTCTTCTTTTTTCTTTCAAGCACAAATAGCTGTTAAATTGATTTTTGAAGGATTTTTGCATTGATTTTCATGAAGGAGATTGACTTGTAATTTTCCTATTTCGTATGATCTGGTCTGCCTTTGATGTAAAGGTAATAATGTCATAAAATAACTTTGGAAATCATATCTCATTTTCAAATCTCTGAAAGTTTATAAAACTTTGAAGTAATTTGTTCACTGCAAATTTGGAAGTACTCACCCATGGAACTGCTTATTTTCTTTATGGGAAGATTTTTAATTTCTAGGTCAAAAGAACTATACATCACCAAATGACAATTCAGGCTTTCTACTTATTATTGAGTGAGTTTTGAAAAGTTTTTGTTAAAAAATTGAGAAAATTTAACTAACTTAAAATATTACTTGGCAAACACTTTTATAGTATTCTTGTTATTTTTTTATTTCATCTGTATCCATTTTGTCTACCCTTTCCTTCTCAATATTTTTTTTTGTGCCTTTGATTTTTTTTTTTCCTTAAACTGCCAGCTATTTATCTGTTGTTTATTTATTTTTTGAGACAGGGTCTCACTCTGTCACCCAGGCTGGAATGCAGTGGCGTGATCTCAGCTCACTGCAACCTCTACCTCCTGAGCTCAAGCAATCCTCCCACCTCAGCCTCCTGAGTAGCTGGGACCACAGGCATGCGCCACCACATCTAGCTAATTTTTGGATTTTTTGTAGAGACGAGGTTTCTCCATGTCATCCAGGCTAGTTTCCAACTCCTGGACTCAAGCGATCTGCCTGCCTTGTCCTCCCAAAGTGCTGGGACTATAAGCATGGGCCATTGCACTTGGCCACTGTTGTTTATCTTATTAGTCTTCTCAAATAATTAACTTTCAATTGTGTACATATGCTTCATTTTATATTTCATAAATTTCTTCTTCTATCCCCTTCATTCTATGTTCTTTGAGTTTATTCTTTCACTAATTTCTTAAACTTTCTTACCTTATTTTTAAACTTTTTTATTTTCTAATATAAACATTTACATTTATATTTTTCATGAAAATATAGCTTCCTGTTTCCCACAAGTATTGATACATAGACTAAATTAACATTCAGTTATAGATATTTTTAAATTCCCATTGAAATTTCTTCTTTGACCTATATGTTGTTTAGAAAAAAAGAGTTCTTAATTTCCAAATGCACAGGTATTTTACATTTATTTCTTTGGTATTGATTTCTAAATAAGTAGTGATTTGGTCTAAGAACTATAGGTGGTCAAATTTTGTGAATTTTCCATGTATCCTTGAGAAGAAGATAATTCTCTAAACCTAGAGTTAGAGAGGCCACACTGTTAAAAACGTTGACAAATTAGTAAGGGATACTGAAAGGAACAAGTGAGAATCCAGTAGCAGACATAGACTTCTTCAGCATTATGACAAGAGCTAAATTGTTGATAACATCTTACCTTAAATTGTATGTACTTCAGGAGGTTCTTTTCTTTGGCGAATGCAGTGAGATATTCCTGGATCTTGATGTTGTGCATAAAGTTGGGGAAGTCATCAGGATATGGGAAGTCTGGGAAACACATCATCTCTTTGGAAGAGTTGGTAAAGACTGATTTGTAAATGCTAGCCCTGCCCTCCTCTGCATGGTCCTGTGAATGTATAGTTTCAAATGGAAGAGAATTGGTAAATGAGTATACTGATCATGGTCAGGGATAGTTCCAAGTAATTACAGTCATCCCTTGGTATCTGTGGAGGGTTCCAGGACCTCTGTGGTTACCAAAATCTGCGATTGTTCAAGTCCCCTATATAAAATGATATAGTATTTTCATATAACCTATATAGATAAACTTTGAATCATCTCTAGGTTACTTATAATACCTAATGCAATGTAAATGCTAAATGAATAGTTGAAGTGTATTTTTTATTTTTATTTTTATTTTTTATTAGTTTTTTTTGGATTTTTTTATCAACGGTTGGTTGAATCTGTGGATATAGAACTTGCAAAAACAGATGGCCAACTGTACACTTATTTGAGTCATCCTTTAGTCACAGTAAATTCAGTAAGACACACATAAATTAACTTCACTTCAACAATTGATGCTAGTCATGGAAACTTATTAAATTAACTTAGGATACGGAAGAATACCTTTATTAATATCCTTTAAGAAAATAAATCTTAATCTTTTCTAAGGGAACCAAATTTTAAATTTCATCATGTCCTTTAGGCCTATGCAACTAGAATCCTTTCATTCCCTTGAACTGTTTAATATGGTGACAGAGATTTTTCAAAATTCAACTTTGTGTAATTTCGGTGTGTCAGCTCATGAGCACGAGCATCTGATGTTCAATTTATAAAAGCAAACAGTAACAGGAGGTTGCAACTATTGATCAGATGTGTAAACGTAAGCATTTTAAGACTTAATTTTTAAAAAATTAACCTTAGAATTTCTACAATGTATAAAATAAGGTTAACTATTTTGAATCTAACACAGAATTTATGGGCATCACATGCCTTTTGAGTACTTATGTAAGTAACAAAGTTTTAGCTTTCAATGATGTAAAAATATCTGAATTTGCTTTAACTCTAAGGAACTATAGAACCATGCTAATAAAGCCTTAAGTGATGATGACTAAAGAAAAAGGACATTGAAGGAAGAATGATCAGCAATGAGAAGGTTAGGACATTGTGTTGTGGTTCTTTAGCCACACACTGAAACAAACTGGGAGCTTTAAAAAAACACTGAGCATTAGGTCCCACTCTCAGAGAATTCGATTTAATTGACAAAAAGTTTTAAAAGCTCTTCAGGTAATCCTAAGGTGCAGCCAAGTTTGCAGTCACAATGTAGAGTTCAACAAATAGAAGCTCATGACCAACAAGCTACGGTTACTGTGGAAGAGCTTACCATAGGACACATCTGTTACAGCTGTGAGCTCTGCAAAGCAAGCTGTTGAATGAATAAAAGGCATTAAGTTAAAAAAAGTACTGGTAGGAGCATGATTTGGAAGAGGTGGAGCCTTGGTTTAGCTCTGTTGAAGCACCAAGGTATTCACATCTCAAGTTTCATAATGAAAGATCAGATTGTAGATCACTATGCATAGTTGCTATTTCATAGTGGAAAGTACTGAGCACTAGAAATTTCTAATTAGTGCTTATCTAACTCAAAGTTGTCAGGGCCCCCAGAACATGAAATTTTGGTATAATATTGGAATATTACAATCACATCAAAAGCCAATGTGGCTGCAGTTTCTTTATTGACAAGTAATTAATTGGCAGATTAGTTGCCATGTTCACTTCAGAAAGCAGTGTGTTCTTGAAATAGGGCATGAGTTTTCTGCTGCTCACATGGTTTGTTGACCCTGCTATAGGCAAGTGGGATGGGGAAGTGAAAGAATTTGTAGCTTTCTGTGGGTTGGGTAAGTTTAAAGAGATGATAATCAGCATAAAGAGAGAAGAAACATTAAAGGAAAAAATTGATATATAGTCTAGAAAAAAATCAGAAGTTAAAAAAGGGTGGTATGCCCAGATGAAAGCCTCTATTTATAAAACTTCATGCAAAATTTCATATAATTTACTGATTTATTGTTTGGGGAGCTCCTGAGAAAAGAGGACATTTTACCCAGATCCATGGCCTAATCAGAAATGTGGCCTGTGATTAGGCCACAGATCTGGGTGAAATGTCCTCCTTCTGTGACCAAAGAAGGTGAGAGAAATATATCATTGTGGTTCTAGATCAGGGTTAGAAGTCAGAACTAGAAGGCATAGGAAAGTGCTATAGTAAACAGCTCCAAAAGTTTCAACTATATGCACCCTTAGTGTTAGTTAAGTTTTAACCAATGTTTGGATCTCTCTGAAATTTAAAAAATGATAATGTAAAATGATGATGTTAGAAACCAAAGGTAAGGCAAATACAAAATTAACACAATTTTAAAACAATCTCTAATGTGAATACTCAGCCTATTGCGGCACACTTCTAGTGATCTGAGAAACACTGCTGTTTACTCCATCGTTTGCAGTCCATACGCCCCCTCACAGTAGTAAAATAGGAAACACTGAAAAACCAAAGGTATTTGTTTCTTACGGCTGCTGTAATAAATTACTGCAAGCTTAATGGCTTAAAATAATAGCAATTGATTCACAGTTCTAGAAGTCAGTAGTCGGGAATCACTATAAGTGGGCTGAAAACAAGGTGTGACAATGCCAGGTTCGTTTCAAGAGGCTCCAGGAGAGAATCCATTCCTTGCCTCTTCTGACTTCTGGTGGATGCTGGTATTTCTTTTTTTTTTTTTTCAGTGGCAAGAGCCCACTAGTATGCCTTCACTCATGGCCACTGTGGCCATCTTCAAAGATACAGCATAGCATCTTCAAATTTCTCTCTTTCTGTTGAGGTCATCACATCACCTTCTCTCTTCTCTTTGTGTTAAATCTCCCTCTGCCTCTCTCTTTTAAGGATGCATTTGTTATAGCATTTGGGGCTCACCCACATAATACAGAAAAATCTGTCCATCTTAAGATTTTTAACTTAATTATATTTGCAAATATCCTTTTCTCTTATAAGGTAAGTAAGATAACATTTACAGTTCCAGGAATTTGGATGCGATATCTTTGAGGAGGGGCATTGTTCAATCATTCAGCCTATTACAGGACATCCTCTGGTCCCCAAGGATTCACATCTATCCCATCTGTAAAATACATTAATCCAATCCCAACATCCTCTAAGTCTCAACCCATAGCAGCATGAAATCAACTTTCAACTCTCATTTATATATTTTCAATTCAAAAGTCCCAAATCTATACCCAAAGGATTATAAATCATGCTGCTATAAAGACACATGCACACGTATGTTTATTGCGGCACTATTCACAATAGCAAAGACTTGGAATCAACCCAAATGTCCATCAGTGACAGATTGGATTAAGAAAATGTGGCACATATACACCATGGAATACTATGCAGCCATAAAAAAGGATGAGTTTGTGTCCTTTGTAGGGACATGGATGCAGCTGGAAACCATCATTCTCAGCAAACTATCGCAAGAACAGAAAACCAAACACTGCATGTTCTCACTCATAGGTGGGAACTGAACAATGAGATCACCTGAACTCGGGAAGGGGAACATCACACACTGGGGCCTATCATGGGGAGCGGGGAGGGGGGAAGGATTGCATTGGGAGTTATACCTGATGTAAATGACGAGTTGACGGGTGCTGACGAGTTGATGGGTACAGCACACCAACATGGCACAAGTATACATACGTAACAAACCTGCACGTTATGCACATGTACCCTAGAACTTAAAGTATAAAAAAAAAAAAAGTCCCAAATTTCATCATCATATAAATTATCCAAATCAGGTATAAATGAGACTCTGGGTTGGACCAGGATGAGGCAAAATTTCTATCTGTGGAATCTGTGAAACTAGAAAACAAGTTATCTTCTTCCAAAATACAATGGTGGGACAAGCATGGGTACACTTATAGACATTCCCAGTTTAGCCAGGGAGGAAAAAGGGAGAAGAAAAGAATCACTAATCCCAAACAATTTGAAATCCAGCAGGACAAATTCCATTAGGCTTGAAGGCTGTGGCTCAAGCCTCTGCCCTCAGGGCCTGAGGCTCTACCCTCTGGGCTATTCTTTCTTTTTCTTGAAGGGTAGCACATGTTGCAGTTCAGTTTTATCAACATATGATGCCAGCTTCAAATTTTAAAGTCTTCCTCGAGCAGCAAGAAAGGCAAATTAGCTATCTTTAGCTGTGTTCCTCTCAATAGCCATATCAGCAGTGTGTTCTATCTTCAGCAACATCTTGCAAAGTAAGTTTGAGTATGAGGCTTTGGTTAAGATCACTGTGTATAAAATATGGCAGACCAGACACGGTGGCTCATGCCTGTAATTCCAGCACTTTGGGAGGCTGAGGTGGGTGGATCACCTGAGGTCGGGAATTCAAGACCATCCTGGCCAACATGGCGAAATCCCATCATCTACCCAACTACCCAGTTACGCGCCCCCCCGGGTCTTTTTGGGGGGGGGGGGGGGCGTTGTGGTGGTGCACACATGTAACTACTTGGGAGGCTGAGGCAGGAGAATCCCTTGATCCCAGGAGGCAGAGGTTGTAGTGAGCTGAGATTATGCCATTGCACTCCAGCCTGGGCAACAAGAGAGGAACTCCGTTTCAAAAAAAAAGAAAAAAAAGACATGGTCAGCTCAATAGACCACTTGGTGAAATGGCAACCAGCAATTCAGCAATTTACAAAGGAGTCAAGAATAGGATGGAGAGAAAGGCAAGCTTGAATTGGGATCTTTTCTCCAACATTATCAGCTGTATGATTTTTTTTCTTTTCTTTTTAAGCCTCAAATTCATTTGTAAAAGGAAAAAAATATACCTAGCTTATAGGATTATTATAAATATTTAATTAAATAGAAAAAGTCCTGTATCATATAGAACGTGCTTGATAAAATAGCCCTAAGTTTGATCACAAAGAAACAAAAATAACAACAACCAAAAAGCCCTAAGAATCACCAGTGTGTTAATCTGTAGCCCTGTCAACACATTCCAATAACATATAGTAGGCTCCACAACATTATATAAGATGCTGGGTAGTTTCAAGAGTTTTTTGCAGTTTGCAAAATATCTATATTAATAAGAATGATATCTCATGTCTTTATAATATTTAAAGAGCCGTTATAGACACTGTTTCATTAAATACAACTTCTTCATTGAGGTAAATGATATAATACTGATTTTGCATTTGAGGAGGAAATAGTGGTTTAAAAGGGTTATTGATCTTCCTAAATTTGCATATATACTAATGGATTTATCAGGAGAAGAAAAATAAGACTTAGGCAATAAGGCTGGAAGACTATACTGATTGAGTGGAGAACATAGGGAAGCCCCATTCCTGCTGCTGTTTGGCAACACATGAAGTCATTTAATGATGTCTGCTGTAGAACCCTTATTATAAATGCATGGGACAAAGGGGCATTGAAGAACTTCAAAGCAATTCTCAATTATGTAGTTTCACAAGACCAAAGTCAGCAACTGAAACTTTAAAATCCATGGTCCAACTCACTTTGGTAACCTCACCAAATGAATGGGAAAAGCCAACAACAATAAAAAATTATCTAGGAACCCATTTAACCAGAGGTGAAAGATCTCTATGGGGAAAACCACAAAACATGAATAAAAGAAATTGTAGCTGACACAAACAAATGGTAAAACATCTCCTGCTGATGGATTGGAAGGGCCAATATCATTAAAATAACCATATGCCCAAAAGACTTAATGCAATTCCTACAAAATATCAATGTTATTTTTACAGAATTAGAACAATTCTAAAAATTCTTACGGAACAACAACAACAAAAAATTAAAAAAAAAAAAAAAAAAAAAAGCCAATATAACCTAAGCAATTCTAAGCAAAAAGAACGAAGCTGGAGGCATCATATTACCTGACTTCAAATTACAGTACAAGGCTATAGTAATTCAAATAGCATGGTACTGGTATAAAAATAGACACATAGATCAGTGGAGACAGAATAGATAACTAAGAAAGAAAGCGCTCATCCCTACAGCAACTGATCTTCAGCAAAGTTGACAACAGCATTCACTGGGGAAGGGCACCCTATTCAGTAAATTGTGTTTGGAAAATGAATTGCCATATGCAGAACAAAAGTGAACCGCTATCTCTTACCATATACAAAATTAACTCAACATAGATTAAAGACTTAAATGTAAGACCCGAAACTACAAAAATTCTAGGAAAAACAAGTAAACATCTTTCACCTAGGCTATGACTAAGAATTTATGACTAAGGCCTCAAGCAAATGTAATGAAAACAAAAATAGACAATCTAAAAATTTTTTCACATAAAAAAGATATAGTTAACAGAGTGAACAGACTACCTTCAGAATGGAGAAAATATTTGCGAACTA